GGTGACCAGGGAGAAAAATATGTGTGCACCAACAAATGTATACGAACCTAGTCACCCGCGTGGCTGGAATTTGCATATGTTGCGTCTAATATTACTAGGATAATATCCTGAGAGTTTTAGGAAAAACAATACACTCGTTTCAAAGTTATGACCACAGTCGATACTGGTGACCAAGGGAAAAAAATGTGTGCATTAACAAAAATTTAGTGATAGTGGATAAATTTTAGTATATGGGTTACTAAAGGCTCTTAATTGAACAATTCGAAGTTTAAAAAATTTTAATTTGGAAACAGATTTACGCCTGACTCGGGCTATATCAAGTCTGCACTGTAGGTTTTTTAGTTATGTTCAAAAAACCTACATCGGTGTAGTATACGATCCACTAAAGTTTCCAATACTCTTCTGGAATGTGCACCAAAGTGTATTAGATAATATTTTCAGAACCAATAATGCAGTGGAGGCCTGGAACAGGCGGTTTGGCGTTCTTGCTGAGAGTTCTCATGTAAATGTTAATTTATAAAATTATAATTTATATTTAGAATCGTATTTTATTCAGAAAAATACTGTCGACAAGTATTATTTTCGACCACTTGCCCAAATGACGAGTTACCCTTCAGACGACTCGTCCTCGACGAGTTACTCTTTCGACGACCATGTTTTCGACGAGCTACCCTAGACCCGATTCATTGATGATTGATGTCGGGAAAATGTATTTACACCCTGTATATCATTTTTCAAAATCATTTAAATTCCAGATTATATGATTACCCATTTGAAATGGATTATAATTACACTCCAACGCATTGATGCGTTGGAGTGTAATTATAAAGCGTAATTATAGAGTGTAAAGCTTAGGTGATCACCTAATCTTCTTGTTTTTGAGTTTATCTTGTGTATCGATGCATTTTTTAGAAATCGTCAAAGTCAAGCGTTACATCGTGACTTATCAGATTTTCTTTTGAGCTGCTAGGTAGGCCTGCCGCGGGATACGGATCGGGAACCCATACCTCGCTTACTGGCCGTCAAATTCAACGGTCTCCATTTGTCAGCGGCAAGTGAGCACTACCCGCGCGGGTACGGGTACACATTTCTCGTTGTTTATTTTTTTCTCCATGCAATTCGCGCTAACTTCGGGTTGCAAGCGCAGCAAGTTCACCAAGCATTAATACACGAGATGACAGCGTCGTTAGTGGAAAGTATAAATATTTGAAGCTACATAAATAATTGTGTCGTACAGTTTATTAAACACAGGATGGTCTAAATGTCACGGTACAATGAACAATTTTTAAACGGAAACGCCCCTAAATGTCGGTTAGTTACAAGATTTGGGATTGAGATTTTTATAATTATTATCAAAACTGGTGACAAAATTCTTAAAATATTGAATTTAAGAGGCAAAAGTTCAGTAACTAATGGAGGTTTGAGAATTTTTTCCATCGAAAAATTTTCCATTGTAGCGTGACATTTTAACCACTGTGTATATGGACTGGAACCACGAGATCTTTTAAATTCATTGGAGTGCATTAGGATAGCCGGTTATGTTTTTTTTTCATTCAATGACAATATTTGCAAGGCATCTTAACCACTATTCTACTCGTCTTCTATGCCACTACTTCTCCAACTTCAAACACGAGTATCACAAGAAAATAATGCATGCGGTAAAACATTTTACAATAATCTGAATCAATTCTACACATATGAATTTATTGATTTCTACCAATTTATGGGCCCAAATACGATTCCAAAATTAAATCCGCACCCTTTTCTGCCACCATCATAACTGCTGCATTGATGTTCGTATTGGGAATTGCTGGCATGACGCTGGCATCGATCACGCGAAGATTGAGCATGCCCTGAACTCTAAACGTAGCGAGAAATATTATAGTGAAGCTAACCGTATTACGGTCATTTTTTTAGATTAATTGGTTACCTCAGTTTCGAGTCAACCACTGCCATCTTATCGCCACGTTCACCCATCCGGCAGCTCCCGGCAGGATGGAAAACCGTTCCTGTAAAGAGTTTTGAGGTAACCTCACATCCAAATGGCTACATAATACCGTTAGGTATATGAACTTACGACCAACGTGTCGGATGTAGCACGCAAAATATTTCTTGCTTCTCCATTCATATTTTTCACATCCAGGAAATTTTGTAGTGTGGTACGTCGCATTGTATTTCCGAAACGCAGACGTACCCTCAACCAGCTTGAGGATAAACTTAAATCCTAAACGATACACTCGTGTATAAAATTCAAAAATATTCGCAAATTTACACTCCGCCACAAAAGTTTACCCTCACCTTAGAATAGAATATGGTCAATTTTCTGGAACCGCTCGGCCGATTTGGATCAAATAAATTTTATTTCGTCGTATTTTATTTTATTGAATTTCCTTTTTCCTCTAGTTTTCACTATATTTATCCGTTGTCTACGAAACAAAATTTATTTTGTCCAAATCGGCTAAGCGGTTCCAGAAATTTGCCAGAATCCTAAGCTGATTGTAAAATTTTTAGTGACATAAAATACCTTTCACCAGTTCGTTGACATCTTCCTTCTCAGAAAAATATTTGGGATCAATTAAAGGTGCGTCAAAAGGATCTCCAGAATGCAAACGAATCTCCCCACGGCTTTTAGGTTTCCCCAGAAACATTACCACCCAAAACTGATCCTGATTTTTCCCCACCCGACTCATATAGTGCTCTTCCAGTCCGGGTTTCAGGGAAGTATAAAAGTTAGAATCTCCCTGTGCGAAAGCGTGGTAAATAATATTTGGCCGGTCGTGCCTCCCATGACTGTTCCATAATCCAAGTCCCGCCATCGTATTCCAGGAAAGGGGCCCTTTCAAAAATATTCCGTTGGTTAAAAACGAGAGATTTGTGTCAGGGATTATATACCTACCTTTTTTTCGTTTCACCTAATCTAAAAGATTCGCATAACGAATATCCCGATCGCTCATAAAAGATACAGTGTCATTGAGCAAGAATGGCCCGATGTCTACCAGAACATGATCCATTAGTCCTTGTCCCACTCCGGGCAAATGAAGTTTCGTTGCAATCTACATATAAGGTGTAATATGTATGCGTGCCACATACAGGGTGGTTAAAATGTCACGCTACAATGGAAAATTTTTCAATGGGAAAAGTCCCTAAATTTCCATTAGTTACAAAATTTTGGGATTAAAATTTCTATAATCAACATCAAAACTGATGACAAAAGTCTTAAAATGTTGTTTTTTAGAGACAAAATTTGGGCAACTTTGAGGCAGGCAGTGGTGGCCGAGTGGTCATCACACTGTGCTTCAAGCCGTATGGAGGTTCTGGGTTCAATTCCCAGTACTGGCAGAGTTTTTTCCCTTGTGGTTTTCCTCTCTGGCTTGTTGCACAGGTCTGTGCGGTGTCCATTGCTGTTGTTGTTGTTAAGCCTTTATTCACGTGTCAACAGAGATCAATTCATAACAAATTGGTTTACACACCATGACACAAGTAGCAATATATATTTTTTTAAAGCATCTAATCTAACTAAAAAAAAAAAGAAAATAAGAAAAAAGACGGGTAATATATATAATCAAGTGATCATAATCATAAAACAAAATACAATTCCATGTTAAAAAGTCCGCATTGAGGCCAGTATACAAACAGATAGGATATACTCATGTTCTTATCCTACTCCATATTGTTTAAAATTACTTATACATAACTCGTAGTTATGGTTAAAACAATTAATTGTGTGAACTATTTCATTGTATTGACTGCATAAAGGATTCAAAATTTTCACTAATTTGCGCATTAATTTTCCATAATTAACAGAATTATTATCATTGCTATTTGCTACGATCATTAATTTGCTCTTGAAAATGGGAACACAGTTAGGACACGACCAGGTTTTAGACACAAATACGTTGCAAAAAGATTTGTCAGTAAGTTTAAAATTGCAGTTATTTCTGTGAAAGAAATTTAAACAGTATACACATTGCAATACTCCACTATTCGCACAAGATTCGGCAAGGTCATCTTGAAAAAGTACAGTGTAGTTTGTTCCATTGTGTTTAAAAGGAGTTGAGACGTCGATGATTTCCTGTCCGCAGAGGTGATAGTCTGGTCCCAAAGCTTGGTCGTCGTCCCAGTATACGAAATTAAGTAGGTCGTAGATTTCGCTGTTTTCCTTATCGGCCATCCCGCCTATCAGGACTATTGCGTTGGTTGAGGGATGCGCGAGTATTACGGCTTCATCGACGGTCATCAGTTTTGTCATATTGTGACAGGGCCCGACAAAAAACCATACAATAATTAGGGAAGAGGTGAACCGACAGATATTTAATAATAAAAAATTAAGGATCGGATCTCGCCTTGTGAAGGCACTTTAAGTGCAACAGAACGGCCAGCCCGCATACAACCGCACGGTCTCAAACTCCGACCGAGCACTTGGGGGCGTAGAGGACGCTCCGTATATAAGCAGGAATCCCCTCAGAAAAAGTATGAGTGAAATGGCGTGAGCAGAATTTTCCGTCTGGAACAGTCCACTTCAGCAGGAACGGGGGGAGGCCGGTAGTTGTAGAATTTAAAAGTTGCACAGAACGGTCAAAACACGGTCGAGGCAAAAAAATTCATCTACCACTATCTTGTTGGGGTCAATAGGGAGATGATGACACTAATTACAGAGTTGGGGGTGTCGAGAAAACTTCAAATTTTTAAAAAACAAAAATAATAGAGAGAGAGAGAGCAAAAGAGAATATGTGTTCCCTCTCCGTCATGATGATGTTCCATTGCACTACGGGCACCATAGTTAGGAACCTGTAACCATCTATTTCTCACTTATGTGAGGTTCGGTTCACTTGTAATTCAAATGTAATGGCTAAGATTGGGAATCAGTAAAGACAACCTTTTTAACTAATGGTAATTTAAGAATTTTTCCCACCGAAATATTTTCTATTGTTGCGTGACATTTTAACCACCCTGTATGTTGTACATAAATATATCCTGTATTAAATAAAATTGCAGTTTATTCAAGAACCTACATTCATTTCGCGTAAGTGCTGACGAGGTCCGACGCCAGACAACATGAGGAGGTGTGGTGACCCAACAGCACCAGCTGATAGGATGACTTCCTTTTTTGCTTGAAGTTTCACAAATTTGCCATGTCTCCTGTAGGTTATGCCTTCCACCTCTAAAGTGAATGGATTGATATCGATCTGAAAAAATCAATTATACATTAGGATACTTTCCAACAAAACGTCGAATAGGTATTGTCGAAATATTGCACCTTTGTAACATGAGCGTATCTTAGAACATGGAAATTACGCCGAGGCAATGCAGGTTCGATGTAACCGTGATAAGTTTCCCAACGTTTTCCATCCTTCACATTAACTTGGATGGGAACAAATGCTGCGAATTTGGCAAAATTTTAACCAAACGTTTAAGTAAATTCAACTAATAAAAATCGCTCACAAGAGACTTGTCTTTTGCCGTTTGGATCTTGGAATGGAAACCGGAGTTATCTTCCTGCTTCGACCCATTCATCTTGAAGTGGATGGAAATCTTGATTTGAAACATAGATTTGACCACTATTCCCTCTGTCGTCAGCTAAAGCGAAAGACACAATTTAGACGCTCAATATACAATAAAGATCAGTCACTATTGTATCGGACTGACGCTATAAAATTATCATAACTTTACCCACAGTTAATGTAATTCCAAAAAAATTGCATATGCTTACTACCAAAGAGTTTGGATTTTTAACGGCGTTTTTATGAAACTCAATACTATATTTTCCAAATCTTGCCTTTCAACCAAAATTTTTCTAGTTTTAGCCCTCACTTCATAATTGGTGGCATATATGAATGGAAAGCCTATACTTTGGTGTATTTATTGAAAAATAATTTTTTAGAAAATTAATTTCAATGTTTTTCCCGCCTAGCGCGCCATTTACGGGGCAGTCCGATACTCTTTAGGCTTAAAAAAGGTACTTGAGGTCCGTACATTTAAAATATGTTCCCACATAATGCTCCAACTTTTTAAAATACGGCAGCACATTTTCGAAGCTCCATCCACTATCTCCCGTTATTGTGGCCCACTCATTAAAATCATTTGGATTCCCACGAAGAAACACCATCCCGTTAATGTTCGAGCTCCCACCAAGTGACTTTCCTCTCGGGTACGGTGTCGACTGCAAAAAAAGAACTACAACGTTAAAATTTCCTACTTTACAAATATTTTACGTACGTTGTTGGAATAACCGAAGGCTGCATGCTTTTGAGGAACAGTTCGATAAAGCCAGTCCGTTTCGGGACGGTCCCGGTTAAACCCGTGAAAGTATGGGATATCATTCAATTCTAGTGGATCTCCGCCGGCTTCTATGAGTAGTACTTTACAGACAAAATAACGAGAAAACTTATTAAGACAAGATTATGAAAATAAATAAGTTAGTTTTACTGGGTCTGATGTATTACCAGAATATTTCCCACTTTCTGAAAGCCTGGCTGCAGCAATTCCTCCAGCAGTCCCTGCGCCAACTGGAAATACAATTGAAATACAGACTTGTTCAGTTTCAATAGGATTGTTCCGTTTTAACAGACCCTTTTATAGTTCATCCAGAAAGTACTGAGCAAGGGAATTATATTATATTTAAAAATCTGTATTTTCTTAACTTAACCTAATCTGTCATCTGTAACTTAACTTTAACTAAATAAATAAAATCTACATGATGGATGTAAAAACACTCAGAGATGAATGATCTGTTCCATCGTTTGGTTTCACTTAATTCGAGAAGTGGCTGACAACCACACCCACAAGGGGTGTGGCTTTTCAAGTTTGAATTACACCACTGCAATCCCCTTGAGTTGCTGAGAAAATTGATATGTCGCATGACCCTGGTTACGTAGATTGGCGGAATGCTAACAACCACACCCACAGGGGGTGTGACTATTAAAATTTTAACTATACCACTGAAATCCCCTTGGCGAGCTGAGAAAATTGATATGTCACATGACTAGGTTTAAGTAGATTCACTGGATAGTGACGGCCACACCCACAGGGGGTGTGGCATATTTAAATTTGACATATTCCACTGAAATCTCCTCATCGTCCTGAGAAAAATGATATGTCGCATGGCGTGCATTGGTAAAGTATTGGCAGAAGCGCCGATAACCACACCCCCTGTCACCATGGGGTCTATGACAATGGGATGACGTTCACACAGGGGGCCTTGGTAAGACTACGTGTATTGGCGACATTTAATTTCAAAAACTACGGTGTGGGAGAATTTTTTGCTACATTAAATATGCTGATTTGACCACCCCCCCAATGACACCAACGCAGGGGGTGCGGCCTACTAGTCGCTGAATAGGATGACCTGACCGTTGCCGTCAAAAATTTACCCCCAGTTGTGTCGAATCCAGTCGTAGAATTTTCAAATTCGATGAAGAAATGTTACTTGTTTTTTGACCTTGTGACCTAGATCTCGAGGGGGTGGCGCCGAATTTGAAAAATCTGAAAATATATATTTTTCCCAAGGGTCTAAGGTTTCCAAAACGGGCGCCATCTTGAAAATCCATCAACAACTGACCGTGCCATTAATTTCGAAACTTTACATGTTGTTACTTATGGAGAGGTCGGCCATTTAGCCTTTCAGTATTATTAACATTGGCCGATGCTCAATACTTTCTAGATGCACCATAGTTAGCCATGTTTCTAATTAATTAGTAATTAATGATTAGAAGGAAAATATTTTGTCAAGTTAATTGATAATTAGTAATTAAACGCAGATTGCTAATTAGGCCAATTAATTAGATAGTTTACCAATTAATTGGTGATTTACTAAATAAATTTTAATCGGTTTAAAATGCACGTAATGAACTGCCCACCGATAATAAAGTCATAGGCCGAATAATTGGCTGGATCAGGTCGAACACTCTTGTCGTAAGAGATGTTTGTCAAGGATTGGAAGGATGTCAGGGGGCCAACGATGGCAGCCAGAAAAATGGCCAGGTTCTTAACGTAGTGCAAACCAAGTAAGTATTGATCCATTTTATACACTGATGTCAGGAATTATCCATCATTGGACAAGCTTATCGTTCAAATGTATATTTCTTAAAAAGTACAGTAGATATTCAAATACTTTTTTTTGTCACTAGTAGACCAACCAATTGGTAGTACAATGTCACGTAATCAGGTCTCAAAAAAATTTCAATATGGGGAAATAATGTCTTCTACCGCGAGCTTTCAAAATTCGGATGTCAGAAATTATCCATCATTTTTATTTAACTTCGTATTTTTAACAATCTTGTAATAAATGATCGGTAAAAGTAATTTTTAGTAACGTGTTGGCCCACCCTGAGCAGATATTACTGCTTGACAGCGGCGACCCATCGATTCGACGAGAGTCTTTGTCACTTCCGGGGTCACAGTTTCGAATGCATCCCAAATTGCATTTTTTAGGTCCTGTTTGTTTGAAATATAATAGTTTCTGATCCGTCTTTCGATATGGTCCCACAAATGCTCAATTGGATTCAGATCCGGACTTTGGGGGGGCCATTCCAACACTTTTATCTTGTTTTTCTTGAAGAATTCCCATGTAGTCTTCGCAGTGTGTTTGGGATCACGATCTTGTTGGAACGTGTAGCGGCGCCCAAGACCAAGTTTTGCTACAGATTGCTTTATATTACGGGACAATATACCCTGGTACACGTGTTGGTCCATAGTCCCGTTTAAGAATTCGTGACCTCCAGTCCCTGCGTAGCTAAAGCAGCCCCAAACCATAACGCTTCCACCGCCGTGTTTTACGGTGGGGTTGAGGTTCTTCAATTTTAGAGCCTCGTCTGATTTTCTCCAAACTCTGGCACGTCCATCCGACCCAAATAAGTTGTATTTGCTTTCATCAGACCACAAGATCGAATTCCAAAAACTTTGGGGCTTATTCACATGCTCCTTTGCAAACGCAATCCGTTTCTTCTGGTTGACCTTTGAAATGAGTGGCTTCTTCCTGGCTCTGCAACTCTTAAATCCTTCAGACTTGATTACTTTAATGATTGTGTTACGACAGGTTAGTTTTCCAGTTTCATTTGCAACTTGATCTCTGATCTTAGAAATTGTCAATTTTGGGTTGACCTTCACTTTCTTGATAATGGCACTTTTTTCTCTCTTAGAGAATATTGGCTTTCGACCTCTTCCTTGCTTGTTTACAATTAGTCCACATAATTTGTGCTTCCGAATTATATACTGAACTGTTGAACGAGGTATTTTAAGCAAATTTGCAATTTCTTGTTGGGTTTTCTTCCCATTGGCATCGCCCTGATGGTGCTTGATTACCAGTTCGCGAATTGCAAATGGCGTCTCCTTGACCTTCTTCCCCATAGCCTATTTTGTACAAGTTTTCTTCGTTAATCGTAAGAAAATGATCTAAGAACAAAAATAAATTAAAGAAAGAACTTACCAAAACAAATTATTCTTTTTTTCAGCTGAGGAGCAAAAAAGATGGATATTTTATAACACGTTGATTTTGAATGCCCGCGAGATAATTTATTTTTACCCCATATTGAAATTTTTTTGAGACCTGATTAAGTGACATTGTACTACCAATTGGTTGGTCTACTAGTGACAAAAAAAAGTATTTGAATATCTACTGTACTTTTTAAGAAATATACATTTGGACGATAAGCTTGTCCAATGATGGATAATTCCTGACATCAGTGTAGCTGACTTTATTGTTGGGTAGACAGGGTCGACTCAATGCAAACTTCTGTGCACGACTGATCGACATTTCATGAATTTGTATCTGTTATACTAATTTTCAAGGTTGGGTTTTGCATGATAAATATCTTTCAGTGTTAAAATATTCCCACATGAAGCTTTTGATTGACATTATAATGTTAATATGTTAGTAGAAATGTGGTTTTTAAAAGCTTGAATTTATTACTTCTATGTAGCTTAACTTGCTGATTGTAATGCAAATTAGGATGGGAAGCTTGCGCTTTGGCAGAGAGTGCACAGTTCAAATATTTTAATACCAAATCAATCGTACGCTTGACTTTGGGCTTCATATTTTTTTGTATAAATAGTCAATTAAAATTAGTGGCAGATATGCTGACGTACTTATCTAAACGTTTTGTGGCTCCGGTTTATAATAACTTATCATAACTATTGAACAGTTGGAAGCCTGTTTGTCACGTGCTGATACCTTTATAAAGTTTCCACTTACGTACAAACATATTGATATTACGGATGATGGGTGTTCTAAATCATGAGTTTTTAGTGTTTCACGCATATCTTACTTGGATTCTCCAAAATAATTTCTGTTGATTCTAATTTTTGTATTGCAACAATTATGCTATTTGAAATGCAGGAAATCTTATACGAGTAACGCATTTTGAGACTTCGTAAGAAGAGAAATTCGTTTCATGAGTTTGTCACTTAGAAATATGTAGTTTGAAATTGTGAACTAATTAAAGTGATTACTAAACAAATAAATAAATTATGAGTATATCTATTTTAATTATCAATAAATAATGATTAATTAACTATTTGAAATAGTGTGTTAAAGTCAGTTTTCATGGAAAGCCTTCAAAACTTTAGGGTAGATATGTTAGGTTGGTATATTTTGGAAAATCATTCCACAATTTCAGATTTCTTAAACTATTTTTGCTCAATCCACAACCCTGCAAATCCCTGTCAAATAGTACCAAACTTGTTGGTAACTCGCTTACCATTTTACGGCCCGCACTCGAAACCACGTGAGCTATAATTATTGAACCCGTTAATGTTTTTCTACAAAATTTTTACCATGGGTGAAATGAAGATGAGCGAGAATCACGGGCACCGTAACATTGGGACATATGTAGGTCTCGGGAGCGGAAAATCCCAAGTCAAACAAAATTCCTTTAAAATTCGGAGGTGCAGGAGAAGTTACAGACAATCCATGAACACCGACTTGAACAACCCAAATGGGTCCCGCTTACTTGGAAAACATTGAATATGCTGAAATTTCGTGGGAACCCTTGGAGTTGTGGTCCAAATGGTGTTAATTAGTGAAACGGCGTAAAATTTATTAAATGAAAATCAAGGCCATTGTACTGCATACCAATGTCGTCGAATTAGCACTACATTGTCACAGAAGTTGTAGGCTAACATAAAACAGGCATTTGTCCCTCGAACATATTGACCGCGTTGCATGTACGTAAATCCACTGAAAAAGTGAGTATTTGACAAAGACATTTATTCAATAACAAAACACGATAATTAATTTCCAAGCGCACGTACATAAATAATTAAATTAACGTAATAACAACAGCCTTACTACCCCTTTAGTGCAAAACACCATTATTCTTAAAGGCGTCAGTATATCTACAAAATTACTTCCAAACCTCAACTTTATGTGGGAAGCTCCGCAGACCCGTTTACAAAACAATTTCCTATTCTTCACTCTATCTAGACTGCCAAATTTTAATTGGTTTAGCATAATCCCAGACTTTTTATTCAGCATTCCACACATGCCAGCAATAAACAGAATAAAAAACCCACTCTCTACGGCAGCACTAGGAAATACCAGGTTTTCCACATTCCGCAACAACTTTGTTCCAGGCGCAACACAAAAATACCATGAAATTACGTTGCACACGGCGAAAACAAAGAACATTCCAGGTAGAAAGCTCTTTCGAATGCAGGTGTTGATTTGCGCTTCAATAATTTTAAATTTCGTGTACCCCTCAAGTTGATTCGTGTATCGATCACCTAGCCCTTCTTCCGCTTCCACATTATCGTTTCTGTAACAAAGTAACATTCATACGAAAAGAAGTAAAATGAATTCATTAAGGTGCCATCAACTGTCATACCTCATTACCCATTTTAGTGAAATATATAACCAGAAGATCGAGGCAATGCAAAAATTCGCAGTAACTGTAATGCTCAAATGAGGGAGTACACTGTACAGCCAAAATTCTATCGAAGACGCTATATACCCAATTAGACTTAATTCGGTGTAATATTTTCCTTCGAATTCCTGTCCACCTGATTACATACAATGCAAATAGTGTCAAGTTTATAACATGTATGTAGGTAAGATTTGAATTTTGAACTACCTGGAATCAGCGATCCCAAGAAAGGAGGCCTACCCGCATTCACCAGAACGAGCAGAACCACGAAAATTTGGACCAGCACCGAACTATATAATCCCAAAAATCGTAGTGCATATTTCAAAAGTTTCCCATAACCAGAAATTTTATCTTTGTCTTTTTCCCTTCTTATCGGCACCTTTCGCTCGTAGGTTAATATCATATTTAACAATGTCGAAAAGTCCGCTGAATTTTGGTACACCGAGGTGGTCACTGCCAGCACTACGCCAGGTATGCAAAACGAAAACAATGCGACTAGAGCCTTTTCGTCCGTTTGTAACTTTGGCGATCGTAAATGCCATAATCCATTCAACAGAAGGAATACCGAGTAGCTAATTAAGCAAAGTAGTTTTATGTTTAAGATGATACGATCCTTAAGACGTACTTGCCCAGCTACTATGAAGACAGGAATTTTATCTTTATCTTGGCGTATTGCAATTGGAAAATGAATCCATAACGAGATAAGTTTCAGTTGACTATGCGTCACGGGAATAGTCGCGAATAGAATCATTTCTTATGAAATTTTGCAATAAATCCACCTAGCTAAGCTTTTACAGCTACGTTTTTTAACAGAATAGAAAATATGTGACTACTAAAGGTTCTAACTGGTACAATCGTTATTGAACTGGAAGCCTAGTTTACTTAAGGTTATACGTAAACAGGAAAAAACAAGTATGTCTCTCCGCAGCCAATTTTATCCTGAGAAGGGAAACGCTTTGCAAATATTTTCAATAAACCCGCTGCGAGACATAACTTATGACTTGCCTCGATTAATAAAATCGTATGCCTAAATTACTAAACAAATAAGTCCGAAAAAGAGGTATTGCAAATATTTATTTTACTATAATATCGGAGAAATGGTTAATAAGTAAATCGTGTTTAATTAAATATTATGCTTGCCAAAACATTAAAGCCGACAAACTTTGCGCGAATGCGATTCCGAAATATACATCGTACTTGTATCTTTACTTATGTGAAATGTCATGCCTCGCTACATAATGAATAAATTAATTTGTGAAAGAATAAACATTAAACACACGTACTAATTCTAAATGGGTCTAACCCATAAGTGCACTTAATGCTTAATTTTAAATATAAATAAGCGCTGTCAGATTTTAAGTTTAAAAATATCTAAATGACGTCCCTTCGTAATTTACAAAAGGCCTAAGCGCACAGTACACAGTACTTACAATGGAACCTTTTTTCAAGCTACACGAGATAAGCTTAGTGACATATGTTAAAAAATCAAGCTAAAAATTAGAAATGACGTGGTACTTATCTTTCCGTTGAATGGGCACTTGGAGGTCAAACATTTGGGGGCAAAGTTCACAGTAGCGGCAGGTTTTTTTCTCAAGCGGGTGAGCGGAGGAGTGAAAATTTTCTCCTTCGAGGTCACTCTCGCACGCTCGCACTTCATTCAATGCATATTATTTTTGACAAAATTTCACAATCTCGTAAATTGGTGTATACATTCATCTAATTTTATATTTTCTTTTTAAAATCCTACTATCCACCGATCCGTAATAAAAAAGTGCCGATAGGTTCAATAAATTATTATTATGTATATTATAAATTAAAATTATAAATCGAATATTATCCTCGAAAACCGCAGAGATGACTACTAAAAATTATAACTGCGTCTAATTATTTAATTAATGTATTAATTAATTAGAAATCATAATCCTTAAAGTTGACTTATTTTTATTGCCACATTTCGTTGTATATTTTTGGAAATGCATACTAGTAACGAAACTAGCGCGACAGTGAAGGGAGCGGAGTGACCTCGAAGGAGAAAATTTTCACTCCTCCGCTCGCCCGCTTGAGAAAAAACAGGCCGCTACTGTGAACTTTGCCCTCAAATACTTGACCTCCAAGTGCCCATTCAACGGAAAGATAAGTACCACGTCATTTCTTATTTTTAGCTTGATTTTTTAGCATATGTCACGAAGCTTATCTCGTGTAGCTTGAAAAAAGGTTCCATTGTTAGTTACTGCTTACATTCGTAAGAATCAACCCAGCAATGGAAATACATAGCAAGCACAACGTCATAGTATAATTAACAATTTCAAAATAATAACTCGGTTTTCCACATTTATCTAACTTATCTACGCTTGAATCTTATTAATCCTCTGTAGTCTGTACACGGAGAATAGCGTACGCTAGCAAACGTTCTCTAATTATATTTAGCGTTTTACACCTCATACCTAGTAGTGCCACATGTTATGTACAATGCAGATAAAATTAGTTGGAGTTACTTTAGAGAGTTGTACTATTTTTTATTGAAATCCCCATGCAATTGTCCATCAGAAACCGTGTTTCGAAGTTTTTTGTATCCCAATTTGGCAAAATGATAGCTCGACAAACACAAAATGTTGCAATTTTTGAGCAACATTTTGGTACACCAAAAAAATTCGTCATATTTCAATTGATCAATAAAAATCGGAATTGATCGCAAGATGGTCGACCGTACCAAAAAATCATCCACTGACACTGGCAGTGTTGATAACCTAAAACTAAGCTCAAGGAAAAGGTCAAGAAGGTCACCAAAATTCATGACGGCGTGGAAAACTGAATTTGACCGAATCCATGCCAAAGAAAAGTTCCAAAGTTCTAAAGAAATCCTTCACAAATGAACGGATGAAGTAAAACTATGACCATTTCCCTTAAATTGAACCTTAGACTTATGTCGTCAAGGAGTGGGAAGAAACAGTTGTTAAGTGAACGTCAAGTAAAACTAGACCCATAAGGAGCCGGGCGTTGATCGTGCGGTACGCACTTAAAAAATCGAAACGGTGACTTTGAACAGCTGAGCAAAGTTTTGTGATTGGGGTCAAACAAAATAGCAAAAGGACCGTATTCACACCTATTCAGTCCAGACTATTCAAAATTCAAAATTTTAAAAACGTTAATTGGACTAACCATCCTGCTTCTGTGATTTGTTTATTGCACAGAAGTTGAATTTGATCGAAAAAGTGATTTTTCTTTTTCTATGGGTCAAATTTTGTGCCAATACTGATTTTTTGAATTTCTCGAGCGATTTGTGGAATCCCCGAACCACTCCCAATTCACAAATAGCCACTAGACATTCAAGGAGGGTCCAAGTCTTGCTTATGAGGCTAAAATAGTAAAGAGGTGGTTGAAATCCAAAATTATTCACTCAATTTCATATCAAGGAAAAAATCACTGTCACTGAACCTCGACCTTCTGGACTAGGCCATATTTTCCAAACTGGAGCCAGATGCATCTGCTAAGCCTTGAAGGAGTTTGAAATCCGAAAAAAAATCCATCGTCTAGTAATAGGACCAATATCTCCTGGATCGCATGCGTACCGCAAGTGTGACGCGGACTCCAAGACTATGGGCTAGTACCGCTTCGATAGGAGGAAATTTTGAAAACTAGTTGGTGTATTTTGAAAAGAATTTAATGGGCTTTCTCGTGATATCGTTATTTTTTCAAAATTCATAAAACTTTAAAGTTCATAAGCCGGCTATACATATTAATTTATATTATCTACGTTGACCCTGAAGAAGGCAATATTCATTTGTCGAAAGCTTGGCGAAGCAAAATAAAACTGTAAAGTTTACAAAATAGTCATCCTAGACCGTTTCACAACATTTTTATATTAATTTACAGTAAGCACGGAAATTGAAGGCACCTTGACGTATTTTTAATTGCGATATGATCATGTCAACTTAGAGCTTAGAAACTTCGCACGCAGTTGTACAAACTCATGGCCGATTATTTCCGCCGCGCCGAGTTTTATGGTCATCGACAGGTCAAAGGTCATAATTTTTTAACCACTTCAAAATGAGAGGCCAAAACGAAAACTTCACGGATGATTTTTTCTAGACTTTTTAATATTTTTTATTGGCTGCGGCAAGGCCTCACGAAAAAAATGAGCTATCGTTCGACCGTGTACGATTTTTTGACGCCCATAGGAATTTTTCGCCATAAGCGGTTTTGAAGGCTAAAATCGTGACCGTGGCGAAATTTAAAGAATTGAAATATACAAAAGCATATATTCAATGTTTATATGGTTTTGTATATTTCAATTGTTTGAATTTCGCCACGGTCACGATTTTAGCCCTCAAAACCGTTTTTGGCGAAAAATTCCTGTGGGCCTCACAAAAATCGTACATTGTCGTACGATAGCTCATTTTCTTCGTGAGGCCTTGCCGCAGCCAATAAAAAATATTACAAAGTCCAGAAAAAATCATCCATGAAGTTTTCGTTTTGGCCTCTCATTTTCAAGTAGTGAAAAAATTACGACCTTTGATCTGTCGATGACCATAAAAATCGGCGCGGCGGAAATAATCGGCCATGAGTTTGTACAACTGTGTGCGAAGTTTCCAAGCTCTAACTTGACAGGATCATATCGCAATTAAAAATACGTCAAGGTGCCTTCAATTTCCGTGCTTACTGTTAAGAATGCTGCCTTATTCTACCCGAATAAGGTCACTCTACTAATGCCCGATGTGTGCTACGTGTACTAGTTACCGATGATAAAGTATCGGAGACTGCCCAATTACTGGGAATAGTTAAGTTGGGAGTGATTGTTAACTTTACTAAATATTTATTGGAAACCAAACATAAAATAATTCCAATTACAAAATGATCCCACGGATCCTAATAATTTATACGTGCTTCTTCCTCAAAAGCCAAGAGAAGAGACTAAAAGTGGTGAGGAAAAGAACAAAGACAGACGCGCAGAGAGAAAGAAACTCCCTCCAACTTACAATACTCGCCAGAGGGCGACTAAACTATGAAAGACAAAGATGAAGTAAACGATGAATTCCTTCATCCTCCCACCACTTTTCTCGGAAAAGTATTAAACATACATTAACACAAATCAATACATAATTATAACATCAAAAAAATCAAACAATTGAATTAAACCTAAATATCATTAATCACTTTCACTTTCCAAATCGATCTGGAACTACAATCTTGCGTCCAAAACGGGATCGACTGTCGGACTTGATTTCTGGCATCTTCACTGCCTCCGCCGCTGGGACAGGTAGGGGTACTGGCACTAGGGGGAATGCTTCTTGAGATGACATTTCCAGGGGATAGAGACGCTGAAGGGGTCGCACTAGGAATCCGCCTTGAGTCTTGACACGAGCTACCCGGATTTCATTATCTTTGCCCGGAAATAGCTCCACAATTTTCGCCATAGGCCACTGTAGTCGCTTTTGATTGTCGCTACCCACAAGGACGACATCTCCGACTTTGAATTCTTCACACTTCTTGGTACTTCCACGCTGGACTAGTTGAGAGAGGTACTCTTTTCGGAACCGCTCCCTCAACGCCTCCCTCAACTTCATCATTTCCTTGTACTTCTTCTGAAGTCCTTGTGAGTTGAGCACCTCCATCTCTGGTAAATCCGTCGTCGTGACATCTTGGAGGAACATGGATGGAGTCAAGGGGATCAAATCCTCCATATCCTCACTCACGTAGGTCAAAGGTCTTCCATTCATGACGGCCTCCACCTCACACAAGTAGGTTTCCATCTGATGGTAATTCAATTTGCTGTGACCGAGCATCCTCTTAAGCAAATCCTTGATGCTTCTGATGAGTCGCTCCCACCATCCTCCCCACCATGGTGCTGAAGGAGGGTTGAATCGCCACTCGATTCTGACGAGTCTGGTCTTCGTTTCAATCTCGGCCCAATTCAACTTCTTGAACTGATTGTCCGCGCCTTGAAAATTAGTTCCGTTATCTGTATAGATGGTGGCTGGTCTTCCTCTCCTTGAGACAAAACGATCCAGCGCCAAGAGGAACACATCCGTACTTAGCTCGGTCACTAGCTCCAAATGTACGCATCTGTACACTGCGCACGTGAAGAGAACTATCCACGTCTTAGTTCTGTCTTTCATGAATAAAGGTCCTGCCAAATCGATCCCAGTAATTTGGAAAGCCTTGGCGGTCTTGACTCTATCTTCAGGAAGCGCTGCTGCTGGGACATTGGGAGTCTTGGTGGCAAATCTCCGGCATCGCGCACACGCTCCAATTGCTCTCTTGATGGCTCGGCGCCCTTGAGTGATCCAGTATTTCTCCCTCAATTGACTAAGTAGAAACTGGACACCCGCATGATGATGATGGAGATGCTCTTCTCGTATCATCATGTCCACTAATGGATGGCAGTGTGGTAAAATTACTGGCATCCTGAATGCTTCTGTGTCCTCCCTCTGGATGAGTTTAGTTTGGACACGCAGAAGTCCATCTTGATCCGCTTTCACTCGCAGCCCAGAGATCAACTGCTTCTCCTTCCCAAAACTTTCTTCTTGAACTATCTTGAGAAGTTTCATCTCTGCTACGGAAATATCTGCTCCAGTGAGTTCAGTTTTTCTCTCACTGAGATCTTCTTTATTCCGGTTGGTAAACTTCAGGACATAAGCGAACGCCCTGACAGTTTTCATGTAGGAGGAGGAATGAGCCATGTACCAATAATTAGAAGAATTCCCAACAGCCATGCTGATGGTGGCACTTTTCTTCTTCTCCTTCATAACTTCATCCATGTTGGGTTCCTCTTCACCTGATGGCCAAAATTCTTCCGATTTCGTCAACCATCCCGGTCCCTCCCACCATTTCGATTTTAGGAACTGATCCGGACTACATCCTCGAGAAGGTAAGTCGGCTGGGTTCATCTTTCCTGGCACCCATCTCCATTCTCCGGATTTTGTGAGTGACAAGATTTCTTTCACGCGATTACCCACAAAAGTGCCCCACTCATCATTGCGTCGAATCCATGAGAGCGCCGTAGATGAGTCGCTGTGGTAATGTGTTGGGACGTCTTCGAGTGTCAACGCCTCCTTGACTCGTGCTGTCAATCTTGCCGCTATGACGCACCCCAACAGCTCCAATCTTGGTATGGTGACCACTTTGAGTGGACTCACCCTTGATTTTGCCTGGAGAATCCGGATCTTGACTCCGTTCTCGTCTTCTGATCTCAAAAATATCACGGCTGCGTATGCGTTTTTGCTCGCATCGCAGAAGGTGTGGAGCTGCAACTTGGCCCCCAGATTTCCATAAGCATGGCGTGTAACTGAAACCGCTTCCAACTTCCGTATTTCACTCCACCATGAAATAAATTCTTTCTTGAGCCCCCCTTCTAAATCTTCATCCCAACTCGACTTGCTCTCCCAGGCCTTCTGAATGAGGAGTTTGGGGATTAAAGTTACGGGGCTCAAAAAACCTAATGGATCAAATATCTGATGCGCAACAGATAAGATCGTTCTCTTGGTCAATTTTTCAGGCAGTGGATTCTTAGGAATTTCGATCTTCAGAGAGTCCTCTTCCTTATTCCAAATTATGCCAAGAACCCCCGTCAGTGCTTGCGCAACGCATCCATCACGACCCAATCCGCAGTCACCTGATGATGACCCGACTCTGGAATCATGACCTGCGCTACACTCCCACTGCCGGAGTTCCATCTTGGCATCCGATAGCATGCCTGTTGATACTTTCTTGAATTCTTCGTACTGTTGTACCGAATCCACTGAGGAAACACAATTGTCCACGTATAAGGACTTGAGAAGTTTCCGTGCTATTTCTTGATATTCGGGTTTCACATTTTGAAGATGTAGTTCCAGCACTGCTCCCAATAGAAACGGACTGCAGCTTGCTCCAAAAACTACTCTTCTGTGACGATAAATTTTGAATTTTCCTTCCTCTCCCTCCCACCACAAGAACCGGAGAAAATCGCGTTCTTGTTCATTGATCTCGATCATGAGGAAGGCTTTTCTGATGTCTGCTGTGACCCCGATCTTCTTTTCTCTGAATCTTAGTAGAATGGAAGGGATCAATTCAAGTAGATTGGGTCCTTTCTCGAGACACTCGTTGAGAGAAGGATTTCTCGCCACCTTGCAGGACGCGTCGAAGACCGGCCTGACTGGTGTCGTTACACTGTTCGGCTTGAATACCGCACGATGAGGGAGGTAATGCACTTTATCTGGAGTAACCTCGCTGCTCACCTCTTCAATGATGCCCTCTTGACACCAGTCCTTAAATATTTGATCGTATTCTGAGTATTTTCCAGCTGCTCTTAATTTTGTTGTTGCAGATATGAGCCTCTTCTCCGCCACGATCCTGTTGTCTGGAATTGCTGGAGAATTTTCAATCCATGGAAGGGAAACTTGGTAGCGTCCTTCTGGATTTCTTGACACTGTATTTAGGAAGTGTTGTCTTGTAGCATCTTCCTTTTCTTTCTTGGTCTTCACATCCGACGAGTCTTGAATCCCAAGTGATTCTAAGCTCCACATTTCTTGTATATTAAATTGACCAGTAAGAAGTGAAGTGCATGTCATGGCCAAACTTTCCTCTTTAGCTTTGGATCCTGGAACTGGTCCACTGAGGGTCCACCCAAAAACTGTATTCACTGCGTACAGGCCACAACTCAATTTCACTGGCTTTCCGGTGACAAGTTGACCCCAGTTATCACTTCCGATGAGGATTTCTATGGCTGAGTTGTCGACATGAGAGTTTTCAAAATCTGAAATCCATATCTTCTTATCTTTCAGCTCCTTCATCCAGGGTCCTTTAGGGATTCTTGGAATATCCCCACAAATTGTTGGCGTCTCCTTCAGGATCAATTCTCGGTGAACTTTTCCATTCAGGCTTTCCAATTTCACCTTGAATTTCTTCACCATCTTGCAATTGGTCACTGTTCCGCCGAACAAAACATTACGAGAAAGTTCCTCTCCCACCATGCAACTTCCGATCTTTGAAACTGTGGTGGATCCAATATTGCTTTGTTGACTCCCTTCGTCAAAGATGAGCCTCACTAAAACTGACCCCTTCGGACCTGATGCCCGTACTAGGAGCGTCTTCAATAAAACATCGCGTCGGCACGAGTAGTTGGCACTGGTGGCGACTACATTTTCTTGCGAGTCACGCTCTTGTTGTGGGTGTGAAGTTTTCTTTTCCTTCTGCAGAGGACACATTATCTTCACATGAACATCACCACACAATTCACACTTAAGTACATATTTACAGTTCTTAGCTTGATGTTTAGGCCGGACACATTTATAGCAGAGGTTCTTCTCTTTGATAATCTTTTTCTTCTGATCTAAGGTCATTCTTTCCGCCTTGAAACACTCGCTCGCATAATGATTGGTCTTTTCACAAAATACACAATATTTCCCAGACTGACCACTTATGAGTCCAGCTGCAGTAGGAAAATCGTCTTCTGACTTCCGGTCTCGATGCTGGCTCCTCTTTTCTGGTTTCTTCTCTTCTATCTTGGGAGAAGTCATGAGGGTGGCAACTTCTGACTCGAGTTGCACCCATTCACTAAAACTCACTAAATTGCCAATCTGCCCCGATTTCAACAATTCTTTCTTCCACTGTGCTCGCATAGGAGCTGGCAGTTTTTCTTCCAAATCGGTGAGAAGGATTGGATTCTGTAGGTGCTGTCTTTCTCCAAGGGATTTTATTGTTGCTGTGAGATTAATTACTCCGGTGCCAAACTCCACGATCGTTTCCGGCTTGTCTTGCTGAACGGGAGGGATTTGCTTCGCCTTGGCTATCATAGCTCGGATGATGTGTTCCTTCTGACCAAATCGTTTCTCCAACACTTTCATCACTTCCGAGAGTCCGTTCGGTGACACTAACATGCACTCTACACTTTTAGCCGCCTCGCCTTTCAAACACTTGCGGAGGCGCTCAATGTTCTCTGCATCGGAGAATCCGCATGCATCCGTTGTCCTCTGGTAGGACGCGATAAATGCAGGCCACTCCTCGGCTCTGCCACTAAAGCATGGTAGATCACGTCCTATTGTTTGACGAATGATCATCTTATCAGTTCTGTTGTTGCTGTCTGAATCTTTATATGCGATTGTCTGCAGCGTTCTTGCCATCATCTCCAAAATTTGATTATTACTGGCCTGCTCAACCTGGTGTTGTGGGGCTAGCATATTCACTCGAGATGTGGGTGGTGGGGAATCTGGTGCACGGGTTCTGAAGTCACTCTGATATTCATTCTCATTGATGAATCGCTCTTCATCTGATCCTAGGTGTTGCTCTTCATCTTCGTCGATCTGAGCAAACCCGGCTGCTTTCACTTTCTCTAACTGAATAATATCATTCTTCAGTCGTTGCACTTTTCCTTTGGTTCGGGCAGCCAAAATCTTGTGATCTGCCACTTTCAATGCCCATTTTTCGCTAAGAACTTCAATTTCTTGCTTGAGATGAGCCACAGCTTCTTCTTTATATAATGGATGAGTGGGGTCGCACTTTGATTGCATGGTGCTAACAGCTAACTTCAAACTGTCCACCTCCGCTTGAGAGACCTCCAACTCTTCTAGTAATTCGGTCATCTGATTTTCCTTTTCGGTGACCTTCTGTCCATGTTCAGCTTCCAAATTCGCTCTTCGCGTCGCTGATGACACTGACGACGATGATGGGGTTGGTGACTTCTTTCGTCCAAACGGGTTGAAGCTGAACATCTTGCCCAAAATTGACTCATTTTCAGATTTCACTGGAGTCCTACCAAGGGGTTTACTTTCTCCGTCTTCCAAATTCCCCTGCTCCAAATCTTCTTGTCGTCTTGCATTCTTCTTAGAGTTGTCCCACGACGGCTCGTACCGATCTGGCTCCTTCCTGTCGCGGTCACTCCTCCTTGGTTGATTCTCGTCCTCATTCATGATGGTACCGAGAAACAAATAATAAGAACGAGAGAGAATAATCAATCGGTGCACTCAACAACAGGCGACTGGACCTAGATAATCTTCTTTCTCTTCTTCACAATCCACAATAAATGACAATGATTAAAACTGGAAAGATCTCACCCAATTATCCCCCCGAACAGCTCAGGGTGGGGCCCACGAAGTGGCAAAATTCGATGGTGAGTCTTCCTCCTGCAGCACGAACTTGACTTCCCGGTCACGGCGGTCGTCTTCTACACTTATCCTTCACTAATACACGCCACACTATCCTGGCAAGGTCGCCAAATGTTAAGAATGCTGCCTTATTCTACCCGAATAAGGTCACTCTACTAATGCCCGATGTGTGCTACGTGTACTAGTTACCGATGATAAAGTATCGGAGACTGCCCAATTACTGGGAATAGTTAAGTTGGGAGTGATTGTTAACTTTACTAAATATTTATTGGAAACCAAACATAAAATAATTCCAATTACAAAATGATCCCACGGATCCTAATAATTTATACGTGCTTCTTCCTCAAAAGCCAAGAGAAGAGACTAAAAGTGGTGAGGAAAAGAACAAAGACAGACGCGCAGAGAGAAAGAAACTCCCTCCAACTTACAATACTCGCCAGAGGGCGACTAAACTATGAAAGACAAAGATGAAGTAAACGATGAATTCCTTCACTTACTGTATGTAGTATACAAAACATATGGCACAACCAGGTACAAATGATAGGTTGGTTGCATAGAATTCCTATTTCTGCTTAAATTAAATAATAATTTCGTTTACCGCATTGAACTTTCTTGTTAATATTTCATAACTTAGACAAATGAGACAGCCAATTAAGCAAATTCAGTGACAACTTTAGAATTGTAATTTAATTGTGATACGGCATCAAATGTAGGAAAACTCCAATTTGCATTGAGATGAAATAACTTTGGCGATTTAAGGAAACGTAATTTTAATTATTTACTTCAAATAAATCAAGAACAAAATTATCTAAAGATTTTACGTTCAGTGAAACGTACTTATTCGACAAATTCATTCACTAAAATTGGCAAATATTTATATATTTTAACTAGACGTCCAAATCAATTTTCTCGCGAAAATTAATATTTATTTTATTGCAACAACAATAGCCTGACCACCCCTTTAATGCACAACACCATTATTCTCAAGGGCGTCAGTATATCTACAAAATTACTTCCAAACCTCACCTTCATCTGGGAACATCCTCGGACCCGTTTACAAAACAATTTTCTATTCAATACTTGATCCAAACTTCTAAATTTTAGTTCATTCAGCATGAGTCCCGACTTTTTATTCAACATCCCACACATACCAGCAGTAAACAGAATCAAAACCCCACTTTCTACTAGAGCACAGGGAAAGATAAAGTTTTCCAAGTTCCGAAACATGTTTGTTGCATGCGATACACAGAAATAGCAGGAAATCACGTTGCAAAACGCGAAGACAAAGAAAATTCCTGGCAGAAACCTTTTTCGAACGCAAGTGTTGATTTGTGATTTAATAATTTTTAGTTGTATGTACGCCGCAAGCCGATTTGTATATCGATCAACTAGTCGTTCTTGCGACTCTACATTATCGTTTCCATAACAAGATAAAACCCGTATTAATGAAAGTAAAATACGATTTGATAATCTAGTAACTACTATATTACCTCAGTGTCCATTGTAGTGAAATTAGTAAACAGAAGACCGACGTAATGAATATGTTTGCAGTCAGCATAATGCTCACGTGAGGAAGTACACTGTATTGCCAACTTTCTATCAAGGACGCTACAAGTCGAACGATATTTAGTTCGGTAGAATACTGTCCTTCACATGCGTAGATCTCTGTACGAAAGGCCAAAACTGTAAACATTAATGCTGCAAACAAGTCCAATTTTGAAATATGGGACACGATTTTTTTACCTCTTGGAATTACTGAACCTATGAACGGAGGCATGTCCGCTTTCACCAAGACCAGCACGACGACAAAAATTTGAACTGCCAGTGAACCATATAACCCAAAAAATCGTAGCGCAAATTTCAAAAATTTTCCGGAGCGTAAAATTTTATCGTAGTCTTTTCTCCTACTATTGAGGACCTTTCGCTCATAGATTAATATCATATTTAGCAAGATCACAAAGTCGGCTGGATATTGGTACACCGAGGTTGTTACTGCCATCACTGCGGCAGGTGTGCAAAAGGAAAACAATGCGGCCAAAGCTTTTTCATCCGTTTGTAATCTTGGCGATTGTAAATTCCATAATCCATTATACAGGAGAAATATCGAGTAGCTAATTAAACAAAGCAGTTTTACTTTTAAAATGATACGATCCCTTAGTCGTGCTTGTGCAGATAGTACAAAGACAAGATGTTTATCTTTATCCTGACTTATTGCAATTGGAAAATGAATCCATAATGAGATTAGCCTTAATTGACTCTGCGTCACGGGAATAGTCGACAATAGAATCATTTCTTACAGGATTTTACAACAAATCAACGATAACCTTAACCTCGCGCAGCCTAATTTTCTCAGGTGTGATGGAAATGAAGACACACAGCTACTAAATTTCAACCTTGCCCTCAGAGGTGAAAAGCTTTGCCAATATTTTCAGTAAATTCGCTACGAGCCACAACTTATGGCTTAAATTAATAAAATCCTTCATAAATGCCTGTTCACTTCAGCACAAAGCACAAAACATGTCAGCACAAAGGTGATTGCAAATATTTATTCTGCTCAAATGCTGTCCAAAGCGAGTTTAGCTATGTAAATAGTGTGCTTGTTAAGAGGAACATTTTCGGAAACCATGTCATGAATAAAATATTTAATAGGTGACTGAAGATATATTACATATTTTGAACCTCAAACATCCATGTTGAAGGTAACGCATTACGCATTTAACTTTGAAATAGAGTAACAATAATGAAAACCGGAATCACTTCACACAAAGAGAAATTTGATTTGGATAAGATTCTCAGCGTTTGTAGAGCTGATTTTTACGAGTTCAACGGCACGAATAATTTGGAATTACTCCGCCCCCTCGCTGAGTGGGAGGAGCCCAAAGTTGGAAAAATTCGCTCCGTCTGCGATTTTTAGCGCAAAGGCGGGTCAATATTTTTGAAAACGCCTTTCACCAAAAGTTTCCTAATTTTGTTCCCTACAACCGTTTTTGACCGTTTTCTGAAATTCTTTGAACCACTTTTATGATGAGGAAAAGTAAAATAGGTCAAATCTCACGTTACCCCATAAATGGGGTATTATTGGAAAGATCTCGGCGGGAGGATTTGGAATATATATACTTTGTCTGGTGTATGACCACTCCCTGATGTTCCAAACACAGAAGAATATTTTTGAATTCTTGCCTATCTATTGCTGTGTTGGCTCCCAATCTACCGCAGCGGTAGATTGGGAGCCAACACTTAACACAGCGCGCTGTGTTAAGTTCTGGATGCACGAAATCGTGACATTCGTTTTGCGAATTTCAAAAAACTGTCAAAAACGGTTGTAGGGAATAAAATTAGGAAACTTTTGGTGAAAGGCGTTTTCAAAAATATTGACCCGCCTTTGCGCTAAAAATCGCAGACGGAGCGAATTTTTCCAACTTTGGGCTCCTCCCACTCAGCGAGGGGGCGGAGTAATTCCAAATTATTCGTGCCGTTGAACTCGTAAAAATCAGCTCTACAAACGCTCAGAACCTTATCCAAATCAAATTTTTCTTTGTGTGAAGTAATTCCGGTTTTCATTATTGTTACTCAATAACATATAAATTGTGTCTTGAAATTTCTACAATTTTTAATCACAACAATATTCGTTTATTCGAATGTCTTATCAGATGTACTGATTTTTGTCAAGCAGATATCCCGATTCCACTGAATTTGTTCACTACTTTTCTACATCTGAATCGAAATTTTTCAACACTACGTAACAAATCTATGAATATGTATTTGTTCTATAATTCATGTGTTTGATCAACGTTTTAAGCTGTATATAACAGAAATGAAGATTTGGGGCTACCAACGATTGAAATGAATGAAATCAATATTTTTTAGAAACAATTCCTTTACTCCACACATTCTTCTACATAAACACTCCAGGACTTCCGTTATGCCCAATATTTATTTTTCTCGAATGGTGTCAAATTGTTGAATCGGAAGGACATGCCAAATTGAATATTTTGTTTGCATATGTTTAAAGAAAGGAGCATTGCAAAAACAAACTTTATATTAACCAATACGATTCCCAAGTGCATATTAAACATGTATTTATGTAAAACGTCGTGCATAAAATATTTAATTGGTGATAGTAGATACATTACGTATTTTGGAATTCCAATATCACTTCACCATGTTCTAAAGTATACATAGTTTATTTAATTCTTAAACAATAATTATAAATAAGATACATAAGTCATAGATATATACCTACATAGGTATAAAAAATCACAAACTCATAAAGTTCTGGAATTTTTACCCACATCTATTTACGTATATCTCATCTTTCATAAACATGTATCATTATATATCTTTGCCTGGTAAGTTATCCTTGGTCCAAAGCCAAGTGTATATAAAGTGGGTTGATCATTTTCAAGTTATTTCAATTTACATACATATTTTCACGTTTCCTGATGTTTGCTAGATATTAAATCCGAATCGAAAATTTTTTAAACTATGTATATCAAACAAAAATCGTAACCTCAAAAATATAACATCTTAGCAAAAAATTCAGTTCCGATATACTTACTCTACATGTGTACAAGCAAAGAAGAAATTATTGAAACATTCTTCTTATCCGCGTATAATTTTGTGAAGAAAATCATGAATTCTGCAAACTCGTTCGCATAATACATAACATTTAATAAATGGATTAGCTCAACAGCCAATTTAAAGCTTTTCGTCATGTCGGTGATTTTGAGCCTTCTGGCACAAAGAATATGAGGATAATCCAACTGCCAGATTATGGAGCAGCGGCATGCCGAAAAGGATTAATATTCGGTATTAGCCCACACATTATCAAATTCTTTCTGAGAATGATGACGGCGTTCTTTTATGATCCAGTCTATCCGTATCTCACAGATACACATTCTACCAATAAATGAGGATGAAGTTTTTATCGCGAAAAGTTCCGACCTTTGATCGCAGTAGTTTTCTGGAGGCGCAACGAAACACAGAAAGGAATATGCCGTTCTACTTATCTGCAAAGAGTGCATTTTTCGTAAGTTTTCATACCTTTTTCCCTATTTTCATTGCTGAATAGGCACAATGCAATAAATTGTATAGCAACATTTCTTGTCTCAACCTAAATTTAGATATTCGTCCAAGCAACAATATTAGTGGGCGACGCTTTGACAAAGGAGATAGCTGACAACAGTCACTCAATGTTTTTTGACAAGTCGAGAAAGGGCATTGGTGTAGATTCCACTAGAGACTCCTGCATAAAAAATAGGGTTCCCTCTGAGCCACGACCAACTCAGGATTCTAGCGACGAGTAATTTTTATCCGTTCCTTTCCATCATACACAAAAATAAATACTCATTTGACAAAAAATTTATTAGTTGTATATATGCATCACGCATTTTATCAATATTAAATATTCGACTAGTTATGTAATCCTTTGCAAATACTCTTTGTCTTTGACTGCAGGCAGGGAGATTACCTCGATGAGGCGTCATCGTCGTGCACAGAGTTTCCCGGTAATTTTTTCATTTTATATGCTTAAAATGCAATGTGAAGAATAAGAGTTTCTAATTTTAGTCACAACTCCTTCGCCCGGCGAATTAGTCCCATTCCAATGCGGAATCGTCGAAGGTACTTTTCCTGAACCCTCAGACTGCAGAAAGTATAATCGCTGCATAGTAATCGGCGGAAATATGCACAAATACACAATGACTTGCCCGGATGCGTCGTACTTTAATAAAGTCAGGAACTTGTGTGCTGTAGGAACATGTTGATCATATTAAATTTTCTTATACGCAATTTTTTTCGGATTTAATTGATGTTCCAAATGTACACGTACCCTGCATATTTATATTGCAACAAGCTATTATATATTCTGTGATGAAGAAATTGCCCAACATCAACCTTTCACAATACTTTATTCCATCCCCCTAAACCTGAACGCATCAATTTAACTTTCAAACTGTCAACATTTGGTTTGGCTTACCCACTAGTATATTATATTTCTGCATTCCACACTGATTTAAAACAAATATTAAAATATTCTGCAAATTTTTCATTTGCAATACACAACCTATCTTACCTATGTCATTAGTTCCGACTTATACCAGAAGGGGTACATAACTATTTATCAACAATAAAACACCCATAACAAGTTCGATCACACGCAAATATTTAAATTATTGCAACAATAACAACCTAGCCATCCCTTTAATACATAAAACCATCATTCTCAAAGGTGTAAGCACATCTACAAAATTACTACCAAACCTCACTTTCATTGAGGAACACCCACGAACTCGTTTACAAAACAGTTTCCTATCCAACACCTTATTCAGGCTTTCAACTTTTAATCGATTTAGCAAAAACACCGACTTTTTATTCAGCATCCCACACAATCCAGCAAGAAATAGGATAAGAAACGTACTATCTACGAGAGCGCAAGGAAAGATAAAATTTTCAGCTTTCAGCAAAAGCATTATTGCATTCGACGCGCAGAAGTAACTGGAAATAATATTTACTACTACGAAAACAGAGAAAATTCCTGGTAGAAACCTCTCCCGTACGCAAGTGTTGATTTGCGCTTCAATTATTTTTAGTTGCACATAACACTCTAGCTGATTAGGGTATCGATCACATAATCCATCATTTGCCTCCACCTTATTATATCTGAAAAGAAAGTAAGATCTATATTGATAAAATAATGATTATTAACTTAACACCAACCATTTTACCTTATTATCCATTTCAATGAAATCAACAAACAGAAAACCGACGTCATGAATATATTTACAGCCGCTGTAATGTTTAAATGGGGAAGTGCACTGTATTGCCAAACTTCCATCAAGGAAGCCAAATGTCGAATGAGGTTTAATTTAGTAGAATATTTCCCATCAAGTGGGTTGCCATCTAGTCATGATAATGTTCGAATGATGAAAAATATTGAATTTATTGATATTAAGACCAATTTTAGCATGCATGTATGTACGTTAATTTTTTATCTACCTGGAATTATTGATCCTAAAAATGGAGGCCTACCCGCTTTCGCAAGGACGAGCAGCACGCCAAAAATTTGAACGGAAAGTGACCCACATAATCCCGAAAATATTACCGCGCATTTCAACAATTTCGCATAACGTAGAATATTATTGTAATCTTTAGCATCGCTATTAAGCACCCTTCGCTCGTAGGTTAGTATCATATTTAGTAATACAACAAAGTCGGCTGGATTCTGGTACACCGAAGTTGTAACTGCCAGTACTATACCAGGTATGCAAAACGAAAACATTGCAACCAGAGCTTTTTCGTCCGTTTGTAACAGTGGCGATCGTAAATGCCATAATCCATTGAACACGAGGAATACCGGGTAGCTAAATAAGCAAAGTAGTTTCACTTTTAAAATGATACGATCTTTAACTCGTGGTTGTCCAGATACTACAAAGACAGGGCTCTTATCTTTATTCCACCTAATCGCAATTGGAGAATGAATCCATAAAGAGATTAGCCTTAATTGAGTCTTTGTCACGGGAATAGTTGAGAACAGAATCATCTCGCAAGACTGTAGCTTTAGCGTATGAAGTTTTCAGTTTTATTGCAAAAGAAGATATTCGCCTGTAAAGATTGGCGTGACTACTCTAATTATTTTAGTATAAACCCTTCCTTTGTTGAACAGGTGTGTTCTAAATAAATAAACCGGAAATCTAATAAATTCTATTCTAGAATATGTTCTTCCAGATGACAACGGTGTGTTTGTATTTCGGACCTCGTTGCTGGATATAAGTTATTGGTAATTTATGCTAGGCAAACCATACCAAAATAAGTACTTACTCATAAAGACAGGCGGCAAGATAGCAAGGCTTATAGCAAATATTTATTTAGCTCTACCGCTGCTAAAAGGCTTACATGAATGGGGCGTGATTAATTCAAGAGCGTGTAAATTTAATGGGACATTTCCAGAAACAAACTTTACACTAATGCTGTTCCTTAATAGGTATGTATGTTAGATTTGTTACCGGGTTTAGTGTGGGTTTTTGGGATATCACATCAAGCCCCGCTCGATAAGTCTACAAAAACCCCCAAAAACCCGGAAAACCCCACTGGGTTGAGGATTCTGGTTGAGGTTCTTTTCTGGAAAGACCCTGGGTTTTCGGAACCATGGGTTGCTGTCGTACTTATCTTTCAGGCGTCCATACCCATGAAGGTATCAATGACAGGACATTTGATACATGTATACATCTACGAATTCAAATATCCTTTGGTCATATTCCGAAATATTTATTTAAATAGCGGTTATAAATGAATCGTATACCGCTATGAATTTTTAGCATGATCTTGGTTTGTAGCGATTTCATTCAACTGCAAAAATATAGAAATATTGCTGGATACCTTACATAATCAAAAATTACAATTTTCCGGTAAAATATTTGACCTCAATCTACCAAAACGGAATCATACGACGTTATTCTGACTCTAAGCTACAATTAGCGTTAGTCAGGGCCAACTCCCAGTGTCCAATAACCATTAAGAAATTTTTGCGTAACATATCTTGCTGAATATGTATGTAGGTAATCTATTATGGGTTATCCACAGCAGTTCAAAAATGATAGGATATAATACATATTCATTAGTCGGAAAATTAGCAGTAATATATATGTACTTATTATTGAAGTCATAAACTACCAAATCAACTATTTACTAATAACTGATTTATTTAATTCTTAGTCTTACATGAGTAAATAGTTACATATGTGTATGTGTCTCATAATTTAAGTAGCTACGTAAAATTGTAAAACCAACTCTTATAATTTTCCTTTTCTGTGTGAATTCATCATAATGCTTAATTGCAAATCGATCGTACAACACCCAGTTTTGCGACAAAACATTTCATATTCTTTGTTAATGACTGTTTTCTAAATTTCTAATAAGAAATCATGTTAAAACAAAAGTTTTTTTCCAGATTTCGTGGTATTGCAAATCAAAAAAAAGGTTTGAGCACTGTACAAAAATAAATACCACGTAAGATTATATTTTGCTCGAATTTAATTAGATATCCTCGGAATTTGATTATCCTCAAATTTATCATTCTTATTTGTCACCAGAATATGGAAGGTATAGAAATAAATTAGCCTTATAAATTTAAATAGCTGTAAAGTCACGCATTATAAAATTAGCGCTTAGCAGGTGGTTGCCCGCCTGGAAATAGAAATCCGGGTTGCATATTTGATGTAATAACTCGAGTATTGTTCCACCAAAGATGCACCAAATCTAAATCCTGGGAAATGTGCAGCTCTACATCGTAAACTAGGCCATTTAGCAGCTCCTGAGTGAAGAGTTGGCTGGTCGGATCGATGTAAACTCGTTGCGGTTGAACTTCACTTCCGAATCCGTAAACGATGCAAAATTTGGCCGATGTAAAGGTAGCGTTGGACAATGGCGGCGGGGAAATACGAAACGAATACCATTCTACACCTTGGTGAAGGTCTGACGCCCAGGAATACTTCATTGGGTAAGTGAACCCGCTTTGATCTTGATATGTCAAAGACGTATTCTGCGTTAGGATTACTCGCACCATCTCGGGCAACATGGTAAAAGCTGCATGGTCATTGGGAATAGGGGATTGCGTCATGATGGCCCCAATCGAAAATATCTCTTTTCCATAATTATGTCCACTTTCTGCAACCGCGGTTAGTAATTGTTGGAACTTGTCACCTAATTCCGAAAGAGGGGAGTACTTATTTATTATGTGAGCCACCTCCGGACCAGTGGACTTATTTTGCCCGCCATACATTTCGGTGACATCGACTGCGTACCGGGAAACAGTAAAGGCTGCCTTTTCTGCACTATTTGAGTATGATCTAAAGCTTCTGGACGTGGCGCTCACACCGTAAAATCCGAGAAAATAGTTGTACGCTGTGGATGTTGTATTGGGTATGCCACTAAAAACAGTATCGGCAACGATGCGCCCTCTTATCCACCCTTATCCATCCGCCGCCACCGCCCACGCTTATCCATCAGTGTCCACCCTTATCCATCGCTATCCATTCTTATCCATCCGTCGCCGCCGCCCTCTCTTCTCCATCGCTATCCATCCTTCGGCATCTCCATCCATTCTTATGCATCAGTCGTCGTTGTATTCACTTATTCATCTAACTCATGTACTCATTATGCTCACAACTCAAGGGCATGAAAATCAGTCTCATTATTTCTCATGAAACTGAGGACGGATTATTCACCAAGAAAGTTGTAACAAAGAAAATGTATTAAATGTCTTATGCCGGGTTTATGCTCACCCTTCAAAAACAACAGTGCGCAGCTAAATCAAGTAAAATAGACTTAGCTGAGCTGTATTTGGTATGTTGATAATAAGTTTTTACGACTCTAAGTAAAGTGCAAATGTAATGGCACTCATATCAGCTATCTCCGGATGTCCAAGTTTTTTCATTCTCCAGAAGAGCATTAGCAAAGCCAGAGCTGGGATTAAAAGTGCAAAGTGCTCACAGTGGTAAAATAAAATATTACGAGAAAAAATGCTCCTGCTTCTCATACTCGTCGTCATTACAGCAAACGGTAACAGAACCTCATTTGTTAAATTTTATATTACTTTCGTTAATTAAATTAACTAATAACTATTTATTTTCCAGCATGCGCCGCGTGCCAAGCAAATGACAATTGTGAGGTATGTATCCGAGATGGATGCTACTACTTTATTAGTGGGGAGAACTCAACATGCGGCTTGCCTCCAGCTCCACCCAAAACTCAAATAATAATTCCACCCGGAGGATACTGTGAGCAACAACAACACCACTAACTCCATTCCCTACGTCAACCTCAGCACCTAACATCATCTCACACGACATCGATTGGTGGGAAGTGACTGGTAAAATGAAATATGAGAACTGTACTAATTAATTTTTATGATAATGATCCGACAGTATTAATTTTATTATTTAAAGCACTGATGCTTGTTATTGTCGACCTCCTTGTCATACTCGCTGTTGGAGGATTCTTCGTATTCCGAAGGAATAGAATTTCGTACCATCATATTCCAGGACAAAACAATACGAATGAGGACGACGATATTGTTGATCTTAATACAGACACGATTTGAGCCTTGTCTACGAAAGACTTCATTTAGTAAGTCCAAGATCACGATCGATA